GAGAGGAGCAAATGAACAAGACTGGCAAGGGCAAGGCAGGCCCGTGCTTTCAAAAGGGATTCAGAAGTCAGCCCTGGCACGTAAGGTGAGGGTCAGTCGGGCGACAGAAGTAACAGGCAGGACGGTGGGCCATTCAAAATAGCTGAGGAAGTTCCTTAATAATGTGCCTGCCAGTGTTAGAATCATCAAAGATGCTTAAAAAAATACTGATGGGGGCCCTAGCTGGGTAGCTCGGTTGGTTAGAACACCGTTCCCATGTGCAGAGGCTGTGGGTTCGATCCCTGGTCAGGGCACATGCAAGAACCAACCAATGAATGCGTAACTAAGGAGAACAACAAATCGATGTTTTTCTCTCTCAATCTCTCTAAAACCAATACATTTAAAAAATTAAAAAAATACTGATGGGGGAGTGGCAGACCTAGAGACATTGATTTCCCTGGCCTAAGGTGGGACCTGGACACTAGTGTCATTTAAATTAAAATCCCCCAAGTAGTTCTAATGTAATTTGCTGCCAAGGGTTGAAAACCATGGGTCTAGACAGTGGTTATTAACATACTTTTGGAGGAAGCAGGAGGCAGAAAAGCATCTAGGAAGCTTGTTTCCATTGTCCGCACCTGCCCCCATCTATCAACATCTTAGTGAAGGGGTTGTGCCTTCAGTTTAAAAAGCCTGATTCTGATATTCCCACTTGTCCACGGAGAGCCACTGGTGGGGTGCATTCAATCTTTATCATGTAATATTAGATGTACACTCAGAAATAAATATAACTTGCAAGTTAAGCAGAATAATAATAAAAGCCCTCCATGACCCATCTGCAATCCTAGACCTTTATTAACCCAGCTGGTGTTACTGGTTCTCTCCTTGCCTGGTGCCCTTGCCCCCTGACAGGAGAAAACCTCGGTCTTCAGTGGAGTCTGTGATATCACCATGCAGGTGGTCCTGGCACCCTTGGAAACCCAGGTACTACGCTTTGGGGAGGGCAAGGTCTGAAGGTGGGGAGGATGTGGGGTGTGGGGACAAGGATCAAGTGACCAGCAATGAGCATGAGCCGCAGAGCCAGGGGAGCCAGGCAGAGCCTGCCACCGCCGCTGACAGAGGCAGAGGCAGGCAAAGCGTTTGTTAAAGAAGTGCTAGAGAAATCCCTTTAGACCCAGCACAATGGGGACCCAGATGCCCTCGGAAAAGGCAGGCTTTCAACGGTCTTGTTTTCTCAGCTCTGGCTGCTGCTGCCAAACTGACAAGCCCGCAAGAGCTTAGGGGGTGCAGGGTTCAAGGCCCCACGGATCTGTCGGACAAGAACAAAAAGATGCAACTTGATCTCTCTTTTTCTCTAGGCTAATCGCTTGGACGAGCTTTTCTGTGGGATTATTATGCCATTATAAACCCAGGTGCTTAAAGTGATTCCACTGCTACCTTTCTTAGAAGGTACTAAGTAGGTCAGTGGCAATTTATCAGGGCGCGGTCTCTGCGCGAGAGCCACCGGCTGTGTAAATAATTAAACCCACCTGTCCCCGGGAGCAGCGTTACAGCAGCAGAGCGGTTTCTCTCTCCAGGAGATTGTCAGGAACCAGAGGAAAGAGGAACCCAAAATATCCAGCTGTAGGAGCACCAATGTGGAGGGGAAATCCTGGAAGGGAGGGGGTTCCGGGGCAGGAAGCCAGCTCTTGGGAGGATGGGAGGCCACAGGCAGGACTCTGGGTGGGGTCTGCTGAAGGGGTCCAAGGAGGGCTGGGCCATGGCTGGGTTATGAAACAGAACTCAGCATGAGCTGGGGGACAAGGACAGGGCGCAATCTTGCTTAGGGGATGGAGATAACCAAAGGACCTGCTGAGGTGACATCAGCAGCCGGGGTGCGTTGAGGGGTCTACGGGCCCTCAAACTCCCCACGGCCAGGGCCGGGCAGAGATTGGGGCGGCGTGCCTGAGGTAGCCTAAGCCTGCAGGCCCTGGGGGAACCGGGGCCTTGAATCACACGGGGGCTTTTCTGTGTTTCCCAGAGGCAGCTGCTTCCAGGATGAGAGGCCTGGAAAAGATCAAGAGTTGCCTACCACCCTGCACGGAGATGCATGCGCAAGGGCCTTCATGGGTTGTAAAGAGCTAAAGGCTCTCAGGGGAAAAGCTGTCACTCCTGGCTAATGAGGCCCTGGCAGAGGACAGTGTAGAAAATAAGACAAAGATGGCCAGCCTGCCTTCCGAGAGGCTGGTAGACAGCGTAGTGAGAGTGTGGCATCTGGCCCCGGGCTCAGGGTCTCCCAAGTGGGGAAAATAACCAGGAAGCTACATAAGCTACATTTTCTCTTTAAAAAATTGATTTTAGAGACAAGGAAGAGAGAGAGAAACAATGATTTGTAGTTCCACTTCTTTATGCATTCATACGAATTGCTTCTCGTGTGTCCCTGACTGGAGATCGAACCCACAGCCTTGATGATGCTCTAACCATCTGACCTGCCTGGCCAGGGCCAAGCTGCCATATTTGGTGCAAGGCCTGAGGATGCTACAGAAGGGACCCCAACATGGACCGGTGCGGTTACCAGCATTACCTTGATGATAAATACTGTGACCTCTCTTCCATGGCTGCTGGGAGTATACACTGTTACAATCAGTTTGGAAGATGATTTGGCAGTATCTCCTAAAGCTGAACATATGTTATCCTATGTCCCAGCAATTCCGCTCCTGGGAATATGACCAACAGAAATGTGTGTACACATGTCTGCCAAAAGACATGTATAAGAACACTCATAGCAACAGTGTTTGTAATAGCCTCAAACTAGCAACTACCCAAATGCCCACTGATAGCACAATGAGTAAGTGCTACATGTGGTATATCACACAGTGGAATACTATACAGCAATGAAAATCCATGATACACAACGACATGGGGGAATTTCACAAATGTGATGTGGAGCAAAAGAAGCCAATACAAAGGTACCTACCTCCTGATTTCATTTACATAAATAGTCCAAGCCAATTTATAGAGAACATACCAAACATCACTGCCTTCTACAGTTTAAATGGTGAATTGTATGCTATGTGAATTATATTTCAATTAAGCTATTATTTAAAAAAAAGAAAACAAACAAACCCTGGTATTAGAAGTCAGGATAGTATTTCTCTCTGGTGAGGAGTACTGACCGGGAGGAGGCATGAGGAGGGGCTTCTGGTGCTGGCAGTGTTTGGTGCCTCTATTCGGGTGCTGGTCACAAGCATGTGCTCAGTTGTGACAATGCTGTATACTTACTATCTGTGCACTACACTTCAATAAAAATAACAGCCATAACCACAAACAACACAGGCCCAGCCTGGCTCAGGTGCATGGGATGGACTGGATATGCTCATTCACTTCAGAAAGGGACCAATTGCAAGAGGACCTGCAAGTGTATGAGGGTGGGCTCCCCATTTCATCAGTGATGCGGCACCTGCAGGGCTCAGGGGCATTCTCATAGGAGAAAATCGGGAGGGTCTGCCTACCACGTCTGCTCCCCGGGCTATGTCACAGTGGGCAGGTGTCGCCCCAGATGTCAGAGGATTAGGCTTAGGAGCACCCTTGCCTCAGCACTGAATTCCAGGGCTTGGTCTGTTGCTCCTGGACTGGGAAGGGGGCATATTCTCAGGGAGACGTTAAGGGCCATCCGCCTGAGGTGAGCTGGCCCACAGAGCTGTGATCCCAAGCCCAGCCCCTGCCTGTCCCAGCAGCCCCAGCCAGGCTCCTCTGGGGTGGGTGCGGGGAGCCTTGTCAGCGGCTGCCTAGCAGCAGGAGCGCCTGAGCCCCCAGGAAGATGGATCCCAGGGGGCGAGCCCTAAGCATGGGAAAGAGCTCCCTGAGAACTCCAGGCAGAAAAGGGGTGGGATTTTAGGGTACAAGGCCAATGGGGATTTGAGGCTATGAGCTAACAAAGGACACAGGCCTGCAGCCATGGGACCAGGAGCTGGTAGAGCCTTTTCTCCCAGGAAACATTATAGGCTATGTCCTTTGTAAATCAGACAGGACAAGAGGCTGCTGCCAGGGCCCAGTGCTTGTGGCCCTTGAGGTTCTGATTCAATTTTGCATTTAAATAACCTTCATGGGTGACTCTGCTGCACAGCTGGGTGCAGAGGCCCATGTGGGTAACCATCACTCATTCATTCAACAAATGCTTACTGGGTACCTGCTCTAGTTCCAGGCCATTGCAAGGCTCTGGGAAAGCAGAATAATATGCCCTTGAGAAGCCCATCACCAGGTGTCCAGGGACAGGCTGGTATGTGAGAGACAATTACAATGTGAAGAGGTGACAGCAGTGACAGAGGTTCTGGAGCAAAAGGTAAAAGGACCCATTTGTGGCTCCTTTTGCAAAATGTAACGTCCTCCTCATCCATTTGTTTCACGCGTCTGAATTTTCGCATTTTGTATTCAGGAGCGTACAGTAGCTGAGGCTCAGCTCAGTAACTTCCACATCGTCCAAGACAACTCCCTCTGAAAGAGGACCCACTACCAGGATTTCTCAAGCTGTTTTTAAAAGTAGCAAACAAGCTATGAGAGAGAGTAGGACAGAGCTACAATAGCTATGTCTGCCTCATCATTTCTGCCCTTAAAATCGTCTAGACCAAACATACACATTTTTTACACTCTTTAGGGAATCAATTTTGCTTTTCATAAAGGAGTCCATTAGATCAACCCCTGGGCCCACCTCATACATGGATAATAACGAACACCGGCTAGTTCTCTTCTTCCTTTAGGTCTGTACAGTGTGACATAAAAATATAAAAATAAACTCAGTTCCCAGCCTGCGTGCATAGATAAGTGATGTGACCCACAAAATAGGCCTAAATGTACCCTTTTCTGTAATCATTAAAATCTACGACATCTGGCCTGGAATTTCCAATTTTAGTTGCCACAGAGGCCCCCTGAGAGCACTTCTCCTTTCAGTAAAACAGTGGGAGCACCTGGTTCTCATGGGTCTCGTCTGGAGCAGCCCCATCTCCAGACTAGAAGTGGCAGGCACCTTCGGCAAAGGGGAGCATTACCTTGGTCCCGTGGTAGAAGTCGTCCACGCACGTGGCATTCATGAAGGTCTGGTGGAAGTGGGTGCTGGTGTCGATGCCGCCAGGGATCACCAGTTTCCCGGTGGCATCGATCACCTTGGCCCCTCCGGGGATCATGAGCTCACGGCCCACCTGCTGGATGATGCCGTTCTCAATGTAGACGTCAGCCTCGTGGGTGCAGTCATCGTTCACCACCTTGCCCCCCTTGATGAGAATCCGCACGCTGGCTGAATTGGCAAGCATGTTCCTATGGAAGAGGAGAGGGGCACACCGGTCAAGGTCAAAGCCCCTTTTCATTGTCACCAAGGTGCCACCCCTCCCCATCAGAGCCCACATTCCATGGGCAGAGTGCAGTGAGCCTGGGATGAGGAGGACGTTTCTCCGCAGCCTGAGGACACAGGTCCTGCGGCCAGCTGGGCTCACTGACCTCGCAGCGGGACTTCCTGGGAACCACAACACAGTGGCAGTCAGAGTGAGGCTGGGGCCAAAGAAACGTCAGTGTTTACCTTCCTGAAATGCCGTGTGCGTCCTAAAGCCTTTTCGTATCCACTGTCTCCCTGTAACCCAGAGAAAACCTGGGGGCTGGCACTTTACAGGTGAAAAGGCTGAAACTGCTGCTAAGTAAGGAATTTATGGCTACTAAGTAGCTGAGTCAAACCCAGATGTCTTGTATGACTGATGTCCCACCACACCACACGGTCCTGAAGATATCAGAGGCTCCCGGGGTGTGTCTCAAATTCTCCAAACCTCACAGGCTGATGTGAGAATGATGCAAATTCTCACACCATTCTTCAGATGGATTCTGCTTCCATTCACCCTCCTGTATTTGCCTCAGAAAGTCCACTACCTCAGCTGGTGGCATACTAGTAAGTTCATCTAAGGAGCTTTTGAAAAGGAGCTGTGCTCAAGCCCAATCCCCAGAGATTCGGATTTATATGGTCCAAATTGGGCCCCCAGAATCTGTATTTTTAAATGCCAGAGAATGTCCTCAAAGTCACACAACTCGTTTGTAGCAGAGTAGGGACCGAAAGCCAGACAGTTGTCTTCAGAGCTATTATGGGCTGAACGTTTGCGTCCTCCCAAATCTCCAGCATGGCTGTATTTGGAGCTGGGGACACTAAGGAAGCTTTTAAGCTTAAACGAGGTCATGAGGGTGGGGCCCTGATCAGATAGGATTAGTGTCCTCCTAAGAAGAGACAGCAGGGTGCTCTCTCTCCCTCCCCCCCCTCACCCCACATACCCTGCACAAGTACAGAACACCACGTGAGGACACCGAGAAGACAAGACGGACATCTACCAGCCAGGAAAAGAGTCCTCATTAGAAACGGACCACACTGGCACCTGATTCAGACTTTCAGCCTTCAGAACTGTGAGAAAATAACTTTTTGTTGTTTAAGCCCCCATGCTGTTGACGGCTGACATTCATTATGCTTCTCACCGCCGCCCCCCCCCCCCAGGCCCTGCCGTGATCTCATTAGCACTTCATTCCTACAGCTTCCTCTGCTAGCGCTATTGACATCTTTTTCCACAGTGTCTCTGTTACCTGTGTGTGTCTGTGTGTGTGAATATAACAGAGTGAGGGGGTCAGGGAGATACCGTGGACCTCTTAGGAGGATCCCCCCAAAGGGAATGAACTGGAGCACGATTGTTAACATACATGCTCTTAAGCACTGCATGGGCCACTGGCTATGACTCTGTCCCTCTGCTCTGGCTGGGACAGCCTATTCAGAGAATATTCTAGTCAGTGGTTGTGGTCTATAGAGAATCAGTGTCAGTTTCACTAATTTATGATACTTCATGTCACCCATTTAATTCCAAAACGTGAGTTAGCCAGTGAGCCAATATCTGGCCCTTTGTGCAATGGAGGGAAAGTTTATGTTCCCCTTACATTCATATGTTGAAGCTCTGGTCCTAGTGTGACGATATTTGGGGATGGGACCTTTGGGAGGTATTTAGGTCACAAGAGTGGAGCCCTCACAACTGGGATTAGTGCCCCTATAGGAAAAAACGTGTGGTCTCTCTCTCTCTCTCCACCATGTGAGGACATAGAGAAAGGATGGCTGTCTGCAAGCAAGCAAGAGAGTTCTTCTTACCAGGGACTGAGCTGGCCGGCACCCTGATCCTGGACTGCCCAGCCTTCAGAGCTGGGAGGAACGAGTCTGTTGTTTAGGCCACACAGACTATGGTACTATGACAGCAGCTCAAGCTGACTAAGACACCACATTAGGCAGAAATGAACACTTTATAATCAAATCATCCTGAAATAACAACTGGGCCCTAAAATAAATGTCACCTCCTATAAAGGCTTCTGGCTGTATCGCACATTCCTATTTGTTTAATCAAAAACTTTGATCATGCAGCTATTTCTTCTATGCAAATGAAAGAATTCAAACCACATGTCTGTCCTCCAGGCAGGAATAAAAAATATTGCAGAAAGTTAAATGCTATTAGAGAAAAAGAAATCAAGAGTTATGGAATTCTAGAGCCGCAGAGCTTCAGGTCTACCTTTCAGTCTGCTGGACTTGACCAACAGTGACCCTGGATCAAAGGGAACCAACCTGGGGCTAATGGAGTAGTGTTATGCAGCAAATATAAATCTTAAAAATTTTCCATTTATTCAGAGAAGCAACGATGCCTTCCATAGCAAGATGGTGGATACATTCGAAATGCCAAGATTTATCCGAATGTATACATCTCGTACGCCCCAGTTTCCTGATTCTGTGGCACGGGTTCCTTATGTTCCCGAACCAGTGCTAAGTTAGGCGATGTGCAAGCTGGGGAAACAGGGGCTTCTGGGTGGGGGGTTGGGGGAAACACTGTAACTTAGGGGTGCTGTCTTTCATGAGGTCTCTTCAAGTTTAAAACAGTAAGTTATTGCTAGCCAATGACTTTTGCTGGGTAACAGAACATTTCCCGCACCACCCACGCTCCCGCCTTTTTTAACTGTTGTTGAGCAGTTCCGTTGCAGAAGGCACAGGGGGCTTCCTGCCTTGAGGGGGGTCAAGGTGATGGCAGCTGCTGCTGGCAGTCGTGAAATGCACCTCCCCCCAACACACACACCCCTAAGAAGGCCCTGCCAAGGAAACGACAAGCCCAACACTGTGTTTTGGAACTGCCTGCTCCTGTCATCGCCTTCCACAGCTCCCCTGGGACTGCAGGGAGGTGCGAGACGAGGGGAGCCGGAGCAGCCTGTCCTGCCTGCAGCTCAGCGGGAGGACGCCGGGACCCGGGGGGCTCCGCGCAGGCGGAGACGCGGGCACCAGCATCGGGCGGAGATTACACTTCCTGCATAAAGACCTTAACATTAACCTGCCAGGGCTTAGTTTAAGACATATATTTCCTCTTGTTAACAGGTATTGGTTTAAGACTCACATTTCTTCTTTTGGCAGAATCCACAGAAAAACGTGTGATTTTACAGACAAATGGTTAACTGTGGTATCAAGGAGCATGGGAGACCAGAGCTATACAACTGCCCTGTGACATTTAAGCCAATCCTAATGGCAGACCAGGGCAGTAAGCGGAGGCGTGGGAAGCCAGCTGAGGTCACTGGGACACGCTGAATGGCGTGGCTTTTCTCTTGCTCCAAGCGGATAACATTGGCTGAAGGAGCAAAGGGCAACATATGGCGGTGGTTTGGCAAAGAAAAGGAAAACATGCAGCTCTTTTTCTTCTTCTGATCAGCACTTAGGAAAGAATGATGGGTGGGAGCCGTTCCTAAAGGGGCTGTGGGTGCTACATCTGCCGGATCCTGGGCGATGCTGGTGAGGGAGCCTCTCTGAGTTGAAAACTGAGGACAAATTCAAGGTTCAACAGAACACAAAGGCCAAAATGGGAAGTTTGAGGGGTGGGGGGAAATAGTCAAGCGTTTAAATTAACAAATTTAATTTAAAAAATAATAAATTGGTTTCTTAATAGTAAAGCTCTGGACAATCTTAACTGATATTCAGGCACAGTATAATTTTATAATTAATTCTTAATTGGCTTCATCAGCTCCTGAGTAGATTTAATGATATTTATATCCACATGGACGGTGTAAAGAATCATGGCACAAGCACCTGTGAACTTACCACCGTCATTACTGTTGAAGTCCCCGTACCTCATTTGTCCCATTCCACACGCCCCTCCTCAGCGGTAACTACTTCCCTGGTCAATCTGTAGGAACTAATGACTAATAACAGGTGACAGGTTAAGGAAAAAAAAAGACGAGATCATGGTTGTCCCTGTCCCATGACCACCAGTCTTGACTCTTTACCTGCCCTCTGGCTTATTTCTTCACCACCCAGCCCTCTGCTTTCCAAAATAGGCGGGCATCTGGGAACCGAATCTCCTGCGCGCGCAGTGCGGAACGCGGCACTTCAGCACTATCCAAGCGCCCACTGGACCCTTCTTTCCACTGCGATGTTCCACTGTGATGTTCCACAGGCAGCACACCCAGCCTGGCCCAAACCTGCTGCACCATCCCCCGCCCCAGGACTCTGGGACTCTGCTGGACTCCTCGCCAACTCAGGCTGGTGTCAGCGTCCAGCAGGGTTGGTGGAAGTGGTGGGCTTGATATTGGTCATCTGGGAATTTTGTGCAAAACATTTTGAGGTATTCTGTAAGTAGAAGCCACCCAGCCATGGGGAGAGCAACGGGGGAAGGTCCATCTCTCATCTGGGGCTCAGGCATCTCCACGGACTAGTGAGGATTTGAGACCAGGGACCTGGACAGGAAGAAGGGCTGGTCAGGCTGACGGGGTTGCACATGGAGGGCAGAGAGCCTGCGGCCGATGTTACACCCACTCTGAGACACATTCACCCAGGGCTGGGCAGGATGAAGCCCAAGGGTGCCAGGTGAGGGCTGGCCAAAGGAGCTTGCAACCAGGGATCACGCGTATAAGACCATAAAACATCTGAGTCTGGAATACCGCCACCATCTTTATCACCGCACAGCAGCGAAGGCAGAATGAGACCAGATAGGTCAGGAGAGGGCAAGCCTACAGGAGAGAGCCCAACCCCGGGTTGCCCTGTAGACTTCAGGGCAGTTAGAGGAAGAGAGGCAAGCCTGTCCGTCTGTCCATGGGATGGGCATCAACACGGTGAACAAGGGCTTGTTCCTGAAGAGGCGTGAAAACAAGCTTAGGACAACGGAACAGCCACAAGTGAAGTGCAGGCGTGGGCCTAGCTTCTGGGCAGGTGTATGTAAGTCCAGTGGGGGTGAGTCCTTCACAGGCTAAAATCAAGTTAAGAGGTTTTAATCCCGTGGCTT